CCCCCCCCCCCCCCCCTTTCAAATTCTGATCATTTACTAATCTCAATTTTTTAAAATAATACTTAATTATAGGTTTTAGTGGCCAGAATTTTAAAAAAAAAAAAGAAAGAAGAAGAAGCAAAATTAAGGTTACATCAAGTTTAAGGAATTATAAAGATGTGTTTACTTTATCAAAGGATTTTTCCATTTCTCAACAGTCACATCAACTTCACAACCACAAATTTTTACTATAAAATACTTAAAACATTTTAAAGGAAAAAGTAACACATATTTCTTCTAAAATCAGGGCCCCTCCAAATTGGGGCCTAAGGCATATGCCTTAGTTGCCAAACCTTTAGAGCCGGCTCTGTGTAGAATAGTTTGGCTCTCGGGGCTGTGGTATTCTTAGGTTTTAATTATTATCCTCAAAATTAATGTTCACTTTGCAATATTTTTTAAGCATTGTTGGCCTATTGTATACATATTGTTTTTCAAAAGATATTATTTACATATGTAAATTTAATTAAATTTGCCGGTGAAGCAGAATCATATGACACAACCATTTGGATGTAAGTGTTTTTGCCACTGGTTACGGAGGACAGATAGAGGTGTATCCAGAATTTAAATTTAAAGATATTTAGCATCTAACTTATTATAGTGCTAAAATTATGGGTTCAAACATAATATTTATTGAGATTTTAGTAGGTTTTTATGTACAAATCTATATTCCGCATCCAAGAACTACGAGATCATCCCTTTCATTCTAGGGTGACGGAGGGATCGTACCATACGAGCCGTTTTTTTTTACCCGAAATTGAAAGTTATGGGTTCAATTGAACCCGTAGCTGAAAGGCTACATCCGCACCTGCAGGCAGAGCAGGCATGTGTAGAATCTAGCCCACTAGTAATATTGTCCGCTTTGAGCCTAGGCCCGCACGTCTTTAAAACGCGTTAGTAGAGTCTAAGGCTTGTCTACTTATATACCCAATATCTCTCCCGTGTTTTGTCGATGTTAGATTCGCCTAGGTTTGCCCCACTGCCGTTCAAGGTTGCACGCGGAGTGACTTTGATACCATATGTAACAGCCCAACCCAAAGCGGACAATATCACTAGTGGGTTGGGCTGTTACAGCATGTAAGCTGGGCCGGACACACCATTGTTTAGACGAGGCAGTTTGCACGAATAAAGACAGGGTATTATCACTTTTTAGCCTGCGCCGGAAACAATTTACATCCGGTAGCCGAAAAAAGTGTATCAAATTTGTATAGTTTTTGTATCTAACTTACAAAATGTATATATATACAAAAATTATACATTTTTCGGCTATTATTTTAAGAGTGGCTATACAGTGTCATTTTTCCAATCAAGGCAGAGAAAAGGATTAACAAAAATGCTACTAGTCTGTCCACAGTTAAAGTTGTGCGGACAACCTTCTAAATGCTGACCATAAACAAGAAAACAACAACCCCAGATAATCAACAAAAGAAACTATAAGCTGAGACTGTAACAATTCATGCTCCATTTGCAACAAATTAAATGAATAAAAGGATTAAATCAAATTTACCTGGGAATGGCAATTAGAGGGGAGTTAGCAGAGGAGAAATTAGGGAAAGCAAAAGAAAGTGGGAAAGTAGCAGAAGACCTAAGCAAAAAGCTGCTCTCAGAAGAGAGCGCTAGGCTTTGCATTCTTGAAAAATTCCACCAAAAGAGAAAGAGAGTGATTTTTGAGGGTATTGATTGAGAAAGAATAAATGGGAGTGGACAGAACACAACACTAAAAGATAAGCTAATCAAAAAGGCGCGCCACTTGGACCGTTACATGTTTCTTCGTTATTATCCATTCCCCGCCTAGATTTTACTTTACTCTGCTTACCTCCACGTAATTATCCTTCACTTCAACTTTTATACTATGTAAACACAATCAGGTAATTAAGGGTGTGTTTCGTACGAAGGAAAATATTTTTTAATTTTTTAATGTTTGGTTGGCTTAAATATTTTGGAAAATATTTTCCTTATCAACTCATTTTTCTTCAATTGGAGGAAAATATTTTCCTTATCAAGAGAAGGGAAAACATTTTCCAAAACTCCTTCTCAATATTCCCCACCTCACCAACCACCACCCCACCCCCGGACAAAAAATCCTTTTTTTTTTTTGCAATTTCATATTCTATTTTTCGTTTCTGCACCACCCACCCCACTCTCCCCTACCCTTACCCCAGCCACCCCACTCCCTCGGACCTAAAAAACTTTTTTACTTTTTTTTTTGTAATTTCTAAATTTATGTCTTTTTCCATTTTTCTCGTCCCTCCCCCCCCCCCCCTCCGAAAAAAAATATTTTTTAAATATATTTTTTAGTTTTAGTTTTTTTTTTATCGGTTTTAAAGGTTCAAAATTTTACAAGTACCAAAGTTATGAGTTCAGAGGTTTATGTGTTTGGAAGTATACGTGTTTAGAAATTAAAGTTTACGGGTTTGAAATTCCGCGGTTTCGAAAGTTTAGCGGTTTGAAAGTTTATGAAATTTGTGGATTCGGAAGGTTGTTGGTTTGAAAGTTTATGGCTTCATGTTTATTATATCTAAATTATTTATGAATACTCTTGAGAAGCCATTTTCCTTAATTTGCGTACCAAACACCGGAAAATGAATAAGATTACTACTTATTTTCCAAGAAAATATTTTCTTGGAATTATTTTTCACGAAAAATATTTTCCGCTATACCAAACACACCCTAAATGTCATTATATGTAATCTTATGTACAAAAGATTAAATTACACGTAAATAGCATAAAAATATTTTTACTTTCATTTCACATATTTTATAAGCTGCAGTTTGAGGTTATTAAAAAAAAGAACTTGGCGTCAGTTGTACCATAAGGCTGGGATTCTATCATCAAATAATTTTGTTTCAGTTTGCATTTGGTTATCCATTTTGTTATTGTCCAGATTAAATTATATTTTCCTTTCTTGCAAAAAAAAAAAAAAAAATGCTCCCTCTGTTTTAAGAAAATTGATACTATCTCCTTATTTGTCTGTTCAAAAAAGATTGATACTTTTCAATATTTTCTTAGGGGTCGTTTGGTTGGAAAGGAGTTATCCCATAATTAATTATTTCGGGATTAGTTATTCCACTTTTCCATGGGGATAAAAAATACAACAATCTCGGGATAACTAATCCCGGGATTAATTATACCGCAGTTTTCTACCAACCAAACATGGGATAAATTCTTCTTAAATTTAGTTTCCGGATGAATTATTCCTTATCCCTCGTACGAAACGAGCCCTTAATAGAAAGCATTTATAGCTAAACAAATGTTATGGCAAGTTTCAGATCACAAGTTTCAAAAGTTTTATAGCCACACAAATATTATGTCTTAAAAGTCTTCCCTTCTTTGTTAAATGTTTTTGACAAGTCAAATTAAGAGGGTGTTTGGCTAAGCTTATAAGCAGGTCAAACTAGCTTATAAGCACTTTTCGGCTTATCTACGCGTTTGGTAAAGTTAAAAGTGCTTATAAGCCAAGTGCTTATAAGTCAAAAATAAGCCAAAAACCATAAGCTGGTCACCCCCAGCTTATGAATTTTTAGCTTATAAGCATTTTAAGTTTGACCAAGATTTTTACTATTTTATCCTTAAAATATTCCTTTTTAGAACAAAACTCCTACACCGATACTCACTGCCTCAAGTATTCATCCTAAACCCCCTCCCCTCCCCCCACCTCTTCAAGTCTACAATTTTCATTGACTATTTAAAATAAGCAAATTCTCTATTCCTTTGCATATCTATATCTATGTGATTGTGTATTAATCTTTGAACTGTATGTAATAAATGAGGACATATCAAATTTTTGGTGTATTGCTTTTTAAGTGTTGTGGTGATAAGACAATATTTTTTCTCTTCAAATAATTTGTCCTATTTAGGTTTATTTTTTACTGAGAAACTTTTATCAATTTATTAATTATGAACTTATGATTATATGCTTATCATAAAATAAATTATATTTATCATAAAAATTATCTTATCTAAGCACAATTATATATAAAATAAAATTATAAATAAAATATGAGGGAGGTAATTCACTGTTGGATTTTGCTAGAGCTTTTGATTTGGTTATAACTAACTCGAGTTTTCCAAAGAGGGAAGAGCACTTGATCACTTCCGAAATTCAATGGGCAAGACTCAGATTGATTATCTTCTCTGCAGGAAATACGATAAAGGTCTGTGCACTGACTGCAAGGCCATCCCAAGTAAGCACCTCACGACTCAACATAGGCTCCTAGTTATGGACCTGGAGATCAAGAGGAGTAGGAGGAAGAGGGCGGGGTGCAGGCAACCTAAGATCAAGTGGGGTAACTTGATCAAGGACAAATCTCAGGAGTTGGGGGAGAAGTTGTTGGCTGTGAGGGCCTGGATGAGTATGGGGGACGCGTCTAGTATGTGGTTCACGACTGCGGATTGTATTAGGGTAGCGGCTAGAGAGGTCTTAGGGGTCACGACTGCGGATTGCATTAGGATTGCATTAGGGTAGCTGCTAGAGAGATTCCTTCCTGAGCCGAGGGTCTATCGGAAATAGCCTCTCTACCTGCATTAGGTAGGGGTAACGTCTGCGTACAGACTACCCTCCCCAGACCCCTCCTGTTGGGATCAAACTGGGTTTTTTGTTGTTGTTGTTGTTGTTGTTGTTGTTGTTGTCGTCGTTGTATTCGAATCGATTCGGAATCTAAAATTTTGAAGAAATTACGCCCTTATAAGTGTAAACGGTTCTAAGGTTATTTAAGTCATTTTAACAGAAAAAGTGCTTATCAACACCTTTTTATCAAATACTGCAACAACTTATTATCAATTTCAGCACTTGTACCAAAATACGTAATTGCTTATTTATTAAATCAGTTTCAGCACTTAAAAGTGCTTATCAACACCTAATGCTTATCAGCTACTTCAAATAAATTAATCCAAATGGGCTCTAAGACAATCTTTTTTAAACGGAGGGAGTAGAAACTAAATTCATTCACAAAATAAATTTACTAAGAAGATAATTTTTTTCAGTTGTATGATATTAAAATTTGTTTCGGTTTTCTTTTGCTGATATGGCCTGTGGTTAGATGCCTCTAATTTTTTTTAAAAAAAACAAAGGTGGCTAGTGGATTAATTTAAATTGCAACTGAAACAAATACATTTGGTGAAACTGTTGAAATACATAGTTGTACACCATGTAGTTATATTAGTACTCTTCTAGAAGAGTAATTAGTTAGTAAAGTAGTTAGATGGTTAGTATAGTAAATGTCGGTTATGCGGATATATATATATATATATATATATATATATATATATATATATATATATATATATATATATATATATATATATATATATATATATTCATTAGAGGTTAGAAGCAGTAAAACAGAAAATTCCCAAATCTCTCTCTCTCTAACTAACTGCTCTTCTTCTTCTTAGCTCCCATTTCTTACCTTCCTTATAGACGAGCTTCAACAGCATCCATGGCTGTCAATACGTTCAATTTAACATGGTATCAAAGCCACGGCTCACAATGATCGATATCGACAACGGCATAGAAGCTCAGATCTGATTTCTCCTCTTCTCAGATTCAATTTTCCCTAATTTTTCAGTTAACCCTCGTCTCTAATAAATTCCATACCAAATCCTTCTCTAATACCAAAAATGGCAGTTGATACACCTCAAAACGTAGCTAGAACCTCACATGCAAACTCTCAACAACTTGATTGTAACGATCCACCTTATGTGCATCCGTCAGATACGCCCGGTGTGGCTCTAGTGCCACAATTGCTGATTGGAACAGAGAGCTACTCGGAGTGGAGTAGATTGATGAAGATGTCTTTGCTCGTGAAGAATTAAATCAGATTTATTGATGGATCATGTGCTAGAGAGACCTACGCAACAGATAGCTTTCGATTGCATCAATGGGAGAGATGCAATGCCATTGTCCAGTCGTGGATAATGAGTTCTGTGGCATAGGAGCTGAGAAAAGGAATAGTGTATTCATCACATGCACAAAAGGTATGGGAAGCCTTCAAGTATCGTTTTGATAAAGTAAATGCAACAAAATGAACACCGAAATAAGTAGTCTAACGCAGGGTATATCCAATGTATCGATATATTACTCAAAATTGAATGATTTGTGGGCTGAGTTTGAGTCAATTATACCCTATCCTGGTTGTGATTGTGCGAGGTCTAGGCTATCTGTTGAGTTTTTACGCCAATAGAAACTAATGAAGTTCTTGATGGGACTGAATGATACATATGCACCTCAAAGGAGTCATATTTTAATGATGAACCCCACTCCTACACTCGATCAAGCATATTCTATGCTCATACAGGAAGAGAGTCAGAGAATGAGTGGGACTTTGATGTCACAAAGTGGTATTTTGGGGAGTGGACCTATAGAAGGCACCAGTAGTGCATTAGCTGTAGCAAATGCAACTAACATCATGCCTAAGCGTAACAATAACCTTTACTGTGACTACTGCCACATGAAGGGACATAAGAGAGAGAATTGCTACAAACTAGTTGGATATCCATCCAATTCTAGATTTGACAACAGAAGAAGAAGTGATTTTGAAAACTAGAATCAGATGCCTACAGCTCATAATGTGAGTATGAATGATAAAGGGGAAATACATTTTGAGAATCTGCAGAAAATGGCTACACCAACTGTGCCAGTGTTCACTGCTGAACAATACCAACAGATTCTGAAGCTGCTGAGCAAGGAACATGAACCAAATGAAA